TCTTAGAAAATTTCTCAATTCTTGTTCCTTTATACTACATAGTTTATGTTTCTAAATAAAATTTTTTAATAATTTCTTAGATTGTAATGATGAAAAATATAGTCTCTAGTTAAAAAATTAATGTGAAATGAGCCATAACTAAAGACTACATATTTTTCTTCATTACAATCTAAGAAATTTTCAAGTTGTGGCACTTTATTTTGTAGAAGGAGGTCTATTGCCTTGCCAAATTATAAAATTAACTTTGAGGGGCAATATTAGAGATATATAACTAATTTTAACTAAATTTAAAGTTAAAATTTAAAGTAGATATATTATTAAGTTCTCTTTTCAAAAATACTAGTTAAATTCAATTTAAATATAATACTTAGATGAAGTAATCAATTTGGATGTGATATATTTTATAGATAAAGAATTAGAATGACATCCATAACATAGATTGAATGAATATAAATTAGATAAATATTAATTAAATAAATATATATTAGATGGATTTATGAATTTTAACTAATTAATATATTAATAAATTAAATTGGACTCCAATACATATTAATTAATTTAGATTAATGAATCTATATTAAAATTATGAGTGGGATTTTTAAAACATCAAATTAGGTGTACTTAATTCTTCACAAAGAAGCAATCAGACAATTTTTAAACAAAATTTAGTTTTTGGTTTGAAATTCTTTTTTATTTAATATAATGTATTTTTTTTTTATTATTGGTCTGATAGTAGCATCTTGTGAATACCATTTTCTAACTTTTTTGCAAAAAATATTATTGTTGACAACCAATATACTTGGCATTATTGTATCATGTGAAAATTAGCTTGGGAATACAATGGGCATTTGAATATAAAAGGGTTTGACCTTACCTTGAAGTTTGATGTACAACCTAAATAAAACAATGCATAAGATTTTTAGAAACACCTTTTAGGAAATCTTGAATAATCTAATAAATCTTATTTCATTCCAATAGACTTCAAATAGACCTTAAAAAAATCTGATTATATTCTAAAGAAAATTTAAAAATTTTGAAATAATCTTTAAAAAATTAAAGAAATTAGAAGAAAATTTATAGAAATCACAAAGAAATTAGAAAAATTCTATATATTATAAATAAATCATAATTAAATCCAAATAAAATTTTATTAAATTTTAATTAAATTCTCATAGAATCTAATCAAATTATAATTAGATCCTAATCAAATCCTAATAAAATTATGCAAGAGATTTTAAATTTTAATAATTTTAAATTTAACCATCGATTATGATTTAAATTTTTTATACTTCTTAGATTATTAAAAGAAATAAAATTTATAAATTTGGAAAAAATGTTCTTAATATGCTTACATATTGATTGTCCTCCTTTTTCAACCTCAAGATTGACCTTCTAGCATCAATAGCTCCTTTTCAGTTTGTTCATTTGCTCTCAAAAATTGCTAAAATGTTTAAAACTAAGTTAACTATGAGCATACAAAAAAAAAAATTCTATTCAATTGGCAAATTTTTCAAAATTGTAGAAGCCCTCATTGATCTTCAAAACCCGATTTCTAAGACCCTAACTTACTTAAATCTCTATTACTTTTGATTTGCCTTTGTGATTTAGCTCAATTATATAAAATACATGTAGGGCAATTATTTTTATAAATCCACAAAATTTAATTTATAACTCTATTACAACTTTCACAAAATATGTCGAAATATAATCTCAGTTTTGTTTCACAAAAAAGTAGAGTCACCTAAAATAGTTTTAACTTTAAAAAAATCACAAAGCCATTAGAAATTTAAATTCTTCAAAATTAATTCTAAAAAAAAATACTATTAAGTTTGCTTCCAAATTTTGCTCCCAAATCAACAAAAAAAATCTTACATTTATTATAAATATACAATTTTGTGCCTCAAGGCTTGGATTCAACTCTAATTTATAGAACATGTATAGAACATGAACAAATCATTTGGAGAGTCAATTAGATCTTTGCAGATGGAGGTTCCTGGCTACGTCTTGACCTAAACCCTAAACTCTGTTTCAAGATTGGGCTATGATCCAGTGAGTACAATCTTCATGAACTTCACAATTTGCAACTTCCATGGGATTTGTAGCCCTTTGTTTTCTCCCTAATTTCACCACCACGATTACTCCACTAGTTTTGTTAGCCTCATATTTATCAATATCAAAAATTGTTATTACTGCACCATAGTTGATTATGTCATCCTGATTTTCTATGTTGATCTTTGTAGTATCAAAAGCTTGTGAATTAACAAAATGTTCAGTGTGTAAACTAGGTCTGCAAACAGTGTTGATAATATGCACTTTATAGGTGATCGTATCTCAGCAAGAGTTTCAAGAGCAGTTTGCGTTGTTGTCGAGTGTTAAATCGTATAGGGGGTAGTTGCGTGTCAAAACGTAAGCACAGGATTGCTCTTGTGCGGAAATTGTGGACCTGAAGGAGGGTTGCGAAGCAAGCTTAATAGATGACATTGATGGTAATAACGTTTTTGCCATGCTTCAAGACGCATTGCTCCACCAGCTTAAAGCATCTGAAGCGTGAATGTTTACGCCACCTGATTAAATTCGGTAAAATGCATGAGTTACGTGAAGAGTTTGACGCACTTCTTCAAGAGATTCACAAGGATCTCCTTGAGCTTTCGCAAGAACAAATCAAATTGCTCAAAATACATGGATTGTAAATCAACTCTAGACAGTCCATTTACCACGAACTCGTCTTAGTTCCCTCACAGTATTTTCTTTACCATATCTTTCATTCTCCGTCCATCTCCTGAATTCAAAATGTTGCAGAGGCTCAGCAATCTCTTTGACGACTGAGAGTATCCAACTTTGTCCAACTTCGAGCTGTTACATTTTTCCCACGAATTCCGTAGCAACGGGTAGACGGTGTGATTTGGAAAGCTTTCACAACTCTCTACAGTCACAACCCTCACACCACTTTCGGAGTTCTGTTAATTTTGTGATCAGTTGTTTGAAACTCACCCATCATATTTCAAGTCACAGCACCCTGCACCTGCAGAACCGTGGACGAGACTCACGAAGAAGTCAATTCACTCTACCCAAGGAAATTTCCTCTACTGCACTTGTAACGTTATCTGCACGTCTCAGACCAGTTAGCTTTGTCACCTCCTTCACTCAGTTGTCTCCCCACTTACCACTTTCGTCTCTGAAGGGATCTTTCCTCAGGAGTCATGTTCTGGGTGCCATAAATTCGAGAGACCATTTGCGCAGCAGAGTGCAGGTTGTTTCTTTAAACCCATAGTCTAGGAAAACCCTAATTTCTTGGTGAGTTTTCCTGGATCTAATTCTTTTGGACTATCTCATCACGAGCCAATATTTGGTTTTTTCAGCTTGATGCGTGAGTTCCCGTCTTTCGCTGAATTGTGTCGTTTCCTTTGATGATAGATTTAACTGATTTCTGTGTGCAGAAATTTGTAAATTTTGGATGAACTTTTAACTTCTCAAGTGTCAGGTCTCTCGATTTGCCGATGGTTTCCGATCTACTCCCTGCTTTGGAGGGGTCTTTCGTGTTGACTGTCATGAGGTGTCTCAATTTTCTTTGAGTCCATGAGTTACCTCCTGCAGATTATTAACTTAGAAATCTAGAATTGCATTTAAGCGGCTACATGAGGATTTCTGTGTTGTGATGATAGCTTTTGTTTAGCTTGTTAAGTGTTACCCGCGTACACCACCACCCAGAATTACAGGAAGTATCGAATACAATCCACACTCCTATGATGTGGATACACAGCACTTTCATGTCGCATACCTTTTCCTCAATCACATTAATAATGGGGTCTTTATAGTGGAAATCTAGTGTGAAATGCTATGGTCTAAAAAGTCTTATAAAGGTTTATGTTTGGTAAGATAAAAAGTTTCGTTTTGGAAGTCTTGTCCTAAGGAGATAGGATATAGTGAGAAAAAGGCAATGACATGGATGAAATCTTTTTGTATTATAAATTTAAATTTATAAATTCATACATTGATTTTGAAAATTTTAACAAACATAGATTTTTCTATTTTATAAGTTTATAATGGATATTTTTAGCAACTTATCTTTACATAAATCTCAATTTTTTTTGTAAGAAACCCTTCTTGAAGTAGACTTGACACAATTTTAGGAAACAATATTTGTGTCATGTAGAAATAAATGCACTCTATTTCATTTTTTTTCTTTGATGCCCTTTGAATCGATTTTTCTAAATACTAAACCGACTAAATTTTCACCAATTATAATTTTTGAAAATTTGACTCTTTTCTACTCTCTAGAACAAAGAAAAACTTCCAAGAATTGATTCATTAAAATAAAAAACTGAAGTTTCTGTTATTAATGATATTCAGAGATTGATGAGTAAATAAATTTTATTACAACTCGTAGTGCACCAATGTCAGCTTCTATTTTCTTAGATACAGTTAGAGATAATTGCTCTGCTATGTTTTGGGAAGAATCACAAAATACAATTCAAAACATCCAAATAAACTTATTAAAAAGTTGTGGAGTGACATGTAAACCCAATCATGTAAGAAACGTCACTGACTACATTCACAATATTACATGTAAGAATTTTGAAGCTGAATTCCGACTCAGCAGGGTTACATGTGAAGCCGCTACCCGTGACCAGAGCCTAAACCCTACTCTTCTGCTCCTCTATTTTCTGCCACGTCAGATCCCTCCACAGTCCAGCTAAGCACGTTCATAGAGCACACGTCAGCGTCCAGGCTTGGAGGAAATCCAAAACGCAATTTGATCCACCAGATTGAGCCGTAGGCGGGATCGGAGAGTCCAGATGGGGGCACTATCTGACAATTCAAACTTCGAACCGGGAACCGATATTTGGCGCCATTTTTTGGTTTTGAATTATGGCGCCCCCGACCCGCCACCTTGACTGGCCCGGCAACGAACCAGCACTGGCCTGGCTCAAGCTGGGATGGGGTCGTGGGAGTAGTGCGCGGGAGCCCGTGGTATGATTATGAAATGGGAAGCGCGGGAGGTAAACTCCCGCTGAAGTACTTAGCCTACTCCATGCCACCGTGGTCCCGCCAACTCATCTCTCCTTCTCTTCCTTTCCCTTCCGATTGCACAGCCCCTCTTCTCCGCGTAGAGGGTTTGTCGCCTCACACAGGTTCTCCACGCCTGTATTCGCACTTGGTCTCACCGAACTGTAGTGTTCATGTTAGGATAAAGGAGCCGCAGCTTTTGCATTCCATTGTACATGTCTCGTGAAGGATTTTTGGCTTTTGAATTTGAGGTCGTGCTCACTGATTCTGACGATCCTCTAGCCATAGTGAAAACAAGTAGAGATCAAAGCAGGTTGTAGCTGAGTTTGTAGCTAGAGGCGAGTTTTTTTTTGCAGACTCGTTGTCGCAGAACTTGCTCCCAGTTGGAGTCGGTCAATATTGGTTCAAAGATCTGGTCAGGCAATTCGTATCAGAAGAATCTGTTGAGTTGGAGTTGGCGTGGAGACTAATTTTGCATACTCAGTGAAGGATATTGCTTGCTATAATATAACAGTCCTATTGTGTGCTCGTGCGCCTGGGACTGTTTATGGCTTTTGGAGTGGTATCGATCATGGCCACGCGACGTGTTACATGGTCCAGGGCCGTTAGAGTGCACCCTGACCTCAGTGCCAGGATTCGGCGCGAGTGCGACGAGAATGTCAACCGTAGGCTTGGTGACAACCTCAATAATGTGCGTGGGATTCCCGTTCTGAACAGGTGTTCAAGATGTCACCTCCGAATTCCTCTTCGGGATATCACACACTTGTTCCAGAATAATGTAAGCTACGTTGTTTCATTGTATATCCTCTATTGATGAGTTCGTGTTCGCACAGAATATAGTTTGGCTGAAGTTTTGGTTGTTTCCTGTACTAGGTGGCTCCTGTAGACGACAAGGTTAACTCATCCTCACCAGCAATACAAGCTCTAGGGAGCGGACCGGTTAGAGGACTCCTCCCAGAATCTGTCTCGTCACAAAATTCTAGAAAAAGACGGCACACCGAACCAGTATCTGAGTCGTCGACTGAACGAAGAGTCCTACGGAAATTTAGATGAATTTAGTTCGAGCTACAAGCCAAAAGTAGCGGTGGGGATGCGGTTGCATGTCCACTCCCTTGTAAACCGAGTTGCTGGTTCGGTTCGGAGTTAGTTTCCACCGTATTCTCTGATTCACCCCTACTCCTCAATATCTAATTCGACGAATTTACAAAAACTCTAATAGCACTTAGCTACTACGAGTTGCGAGCAGATAAATGTGAGTTTGTAGCAGGGGTTGAATTTTGAACCAGTTGGTTGGAAAAATCTGATTTTTGTCTCCTAGAATTGTAATGTAGTAACTGGAGGAAGACCAATGCCTGTAACTAGTTAAATCAATTAGCAGTTGATTTTCATTGTACAGGTTTGAAGTTCCCTTCCGAAGCTACTGCAGCTGTGTAATGATACAAGTCAGGTTATTCAGTAATCTAGAAAAGTTGGGATCTCATTAGCCCTTAAATATTCTTATCAGGGATAATACATGTGCGAACCTCAAACCAATACATGTCAATACATTTCCATTAGCTAGATGACTGGTCTGATTCACTTTGGGCATTCCTTAAGCAGTGATTGCAGTAAACAAAACTCTGACCTTACAATCTTCAAATTTAACTGCTGCATTGGAACTGATTCGTCCACCGATTGTGGTTTAGTAACGATTATAAGCTTGTTCCACAAATATGTATACTAATGTACACATAAATGTGGAAACTTAAACGAAAATTGCATAACAACTTTTTCCATCAACAAGGACAACACATGTCTCCCAATAGCCCAATTCATTATTTAACACTCTCAAAATATGTCTATTGTGTCCCTGGTTACTTGTTAAAATTTATACAATTGATTTATTGAAAAATGTGTATAGTATTACAAATGCTTATTACAAGTATTAAAATGAGCTTACACAACCATAGTTGTTGGTCTATTATTTATATTTCCTATCCATTCAATTTGATTTTATCTATTTATTAGGTTACTTCTTATAATTGTAATATATGATAAAATTTAAATTTCCAAAAATTATTTTTATCTGTATTTTTATATTTACATATAATTTTTTTATAAATATATATATAATTTTTTGTAATAGATTTTATCAAAATTTTAAAGTAATTTATTTATTTGTTATTCTATGTATCTATACTTCAACCATCTTAATTTATGCCTATATTTATATATGTAAATGTTACAAATTTTAAATTTCATTATTTCTTAAAGTTCAAATACAATCCTGTAATAATTATAAAACATCTTTAAATTTATTTACAATGATTCTATAAGAAAAATTGTATTTAGAATCCTAATAAAAAATATCTTTTACATTGAATCAAAGTAGAAAAATAGGTTCATAAGGTTGATTGGTTTTGATATTATAATATAATTCCACATCTTATCACAAACTTAATATGGAGATTTATTTATTTATTTCTTTTTACTTACTAAAATTAGCATTAATTTATTGTTGTTTTTGAGCCTCCTTCAATTGTACCTTTATTGGTGTATGAAACTCTCTTATTCTTTGCATCACATTCTCTATTGCTAAATTTTTAATTTTGAAAAATTAAAAAATATTAAATTGTGGATAATAACTATAATTGACAAAAAAAAAAAAAAACAAACAAACAAACAACAGCAAATGAACGTAATGTATTTCTATAAAAGTTTTGCTTATGATAAGAAAATTATCTATATGCCTTGGTAATAGTTAATAACACTCTACAAATATTGTTCCAATACTTAATTCATTTGCTTAAATTTTTATCAATTTGAGCATTAAAAATTAAATATAAATTTATATCAACATTTGATATGTTGAAAAATATTTTTTGAAACTTTGATACAAATTAAAGCCATCTATTAAATATAATATCACTTAGAAATCAATCATATTAATAAATATTATCAATTAAAAGTTTAGTTGTTTCTTTACTTGTAATAATATTAATATAAGATACAAATAAGCCGTTGTTATTAGATGATCTATTATTACAAAGTAAAATTATAAGAATTTAAAATTAAATAATTTATAATAATTTTCTTTGAAAAAAATGACTAAAATTATTTGCAAATAAATAGAGATTAAAGAAGTCCATAGGATTGATGTCATAAAATCTTTTCTTAAGAAACTATAATCATAGGATTAAATAAATTCTTTGAAATTTTTTTATATTTGAAATTACTAAAAATTTCTTAAAAGAAGCTCTATCCATTAGAAAGTCACATTGTACTTGAAGTATATGTAGTTGTGCTTAGATTGTTAGAATATATAAACGTCCATTATAATGAAGAATTTCCTTGAATCAAATTTTTTGGAGTCATTATAAATATTATTTTTAATATCAAGAAAAAGAGGATCTATTAGCTTAATTTAATAAAATTTGTTAAAAAAAATATTATACAATTGAATCATTGACATAATAGCTTGAAGATGTGATTGCTTTAGTTTTAATACATGTTTTATTATTGATATTACTCAAAACCATCTTTTGATATATAATAAGAAAATTCAAATAAGATAACTAAGAAGGCTTATTTTTTCTAAGATAATATGTAATATTAAGTACAAATGGTGGCAAAGATATATTCAAACTAACTTGACAACAATTTAAAAGACATATTGACATGAAATATTTAAAGTTCTTGTAATTGATTTATACTATGATTAGATAATAAGTATCTTTTTGGTAGTAATTCTATTTATAGAATAAATATACAATAAAAACTTTTTTATAATAAATCTTATAGTTTATTTGAATTGTTAGGATTTTTTTCAAATAAATGGCAATAAAATGAAGTCTATCATTTGTATCTATTTGTGATAAAAGTGCACCTAGTGTAAATTTTGATAAATTATTTTTATAAAAAATATTTTGAAAAAAATTAAATGACATGAAAAAGGAGCTGCAATGAAGGTAAGTTTTAAAATTTAAAATATTCTTTTAGAATCTACATTCTACTCCAACTCATCTTTGGAAGTTAATTGTGCAAGAAAAATAACAACTTGAAAAATAATTCTTAATAAAATCTATTCATAGTTTGTAAATTATAAAAAATATTGGATATCTTATATCTTTTTTAGAGTTTTCAAATTCACAATATTTTTTACTTTCTTAGAATTCATTTACAAACCATCATTTAAAATGATACATCTCAAAAATCTACTTGTATTGTATGAAATATATATTTTTCCATCTTGGCATATAATCTTATATTTAGAGGTTGTTCTAATAAAATAAAATATTAATTATAATCTTATGTATTTTATAAACTGATAAAAATATTTTCCAAAAAATATGCAAGAAAATCATTTAGAAACCTACAAAACATATTGTTCATCCATTGTCAAAAAGTAATAAGAGCATTTGAAAATCCAATAGATATTACACTATATTTAAAACAACCATACTTAGTTTAAATTGTAATATCATTTTTATTTCTTACTTTGATATACACCAAATTATAGAATTTTTGTAAATCTATTCTAGTATAAATATTAAAATTTTTTAATTAGTTAAAGAGTCCAATATTAAAGATAAATAATAAGAATTCTTGAAGGTTAATTTATAAAGTTCACATCAATCTACAAATATTTGCAAAAATATTTTTTAACTTTAGAAAGAAGATTAGTACACCTACAAGAGATTTTGAATGTTGGATGCAAATAATTTTCAAAATCTTGATCAATATATTTCTTTAAAGAAAAAAAATTGTATTGCAGTATGTTTTTCTTATAACAATATTTACTTGTAACAAGTTATAAATTAATATGAATAGAGGTTATGCTTCTTTTTTTAAGATTAATTGCATAGTCATAAGCTTAATATTTTGGCAATATGCTAGTCTATTTCATTTCAAATGCATCTTGATATTTTTTATATAGCTCTCAGATTTTACTATCATTTCTATTTGAATAAAGAATTGATGCTAAATAAGTTACAAATTGATTTCCATCATTTTTAGCTTGCATAAATGCTTAAGATTTAATAAACAACAACTGAGATGACTTTTTGGATTTAGAATAATATTAAAGTACTCTTATATAGTTTCTAATTAGTAATAAGCTTGTGTAATTTAAACCAAAGAAGACAAAGTACCATTGGATTTGAAGGACATATAATGATATTGAAGAAAATATTAGATTCTTGATCTTTTAATACCACTTCAATAACTTAGTTTCTTCTATAGTATCTTCAAATACAAGTTTTTGTTTATCAACAACCTTTATTAAAGATATTGTGATTTTCTTTGATAGCATATTATTTTTGCAATGCAAAGTTTTTATCCATAAAACACATTGAAACTCTGATATATAAATGCATTTAGGTTGAAAATTTACAAATTAAAGTTTTAACATTATATAAAGTTTAGAAAAAGGTATAAGATCTAATGATAATATAAGACATATATTTAATGGATATAATATAAGATTATCCAATTGCAAGGTTCTTATTAAAATTAGATGTATTTATTCTATGAATTTTTTATATATGAATTTATATTTTGTATCTTATATATATTTTTTATTAATGCAATAATCTTATACTTTATGACTTGATTTTTAAAATATAAATATAATTTATATATATATATATATATATATATATATATATTTGGTATTAATGGTATATATTGGATTGTATCAATTTTTATAGGTTTTGGTCTCAGTAATTAGATTTTTGAGGACCTAGAAATTATCATCATTACTTTATTTGTCTTTTTTCAACCAAATCTTCATTCTTAAGGCCTTTCAAAGAATTGATTGTCATATGCAATTACTTAGGTGATAAACTATTTTATTTATTCTAACAAATTTGGTTTTGATATTATCAATAATAGGTCTTTGAAATGAAATTATGATCTATTTTTAAAATTATTAATTAAAACTTTATTCTTTTAGTCTATGTTACAAAATTTTTTAGATTTTTATAACAAAAATAATAGCTAAATATGATATTTTTCATAGAATTTGAAGTTTTATTTTATATTTTGTTTTTTTAAAGTTTTCATTTAATTTTAGTTTTAATTAGTTTAGTTTAGTTTAATTTAATTTAATTTAATTTTTTTCAAATAAAGTCATAAATATCTTAAAAAATTAGTTCAAATTACATATAGTGATAAATAATATCTTATATAAGTTATAATTAAGATAGAACACTACTAGTTAGAAATGTGCTTATAAATCCTACTTTAATAATTCTATTAAGGTATGGAGAAGGATGTAATTGTAAGACATTGTTATGATGTAACATGGCTAATAGGTGAAAGATTAAAAAAAATATTATATTTTAGAAGATCTTATTTCAAAATATTATAGAAAATCTTCTTAAAAATATAAATAATAGTCCAAAGATAGTAAATTAAAAGTACAAATGCTGCCTTTTTACAAAGTGGGCTTTTACTTACTTTGGAGGGCCATAAATAAGATAAAATAAGATAGATTAGAAAAATAAAGAATACAAACATATGTAGGAGAGAGTAAGAAGTTGATTTTAGCAAAAATTACTTCAAGAAGACAAAAATTGATACC